CCAGCCTGGAATTTGGAAATTAATAATAATAATAATAATTAATAAAGAGTAAAAAACCGACGGTGATGGTACGATGTAGGATGTACGTCGTCGTTTAGAGGGATGTGGGGGGATGGAACAGCTGATCGAGCGGCGGCGAAGGGAAAATTGAGGGGCGTGACGGGAAGATATTTTGAGATCAATAATAGTGTATTTTATTCCGTCAGCACCTATTTTTTGCCTTTCTTTTTTTGACAAATAAGATTGAAAATGTGTAGGAAAAGAAATACACTTTTTTATTTAAGATAAAGATAAAGAGTTRTCAAATTTTTATTGGGGTTGGAAAAGTACGCTGCCGGCTGATATATGAGAACACATGGCAATCACCTGATGATTGGGCTTTGTCGGGAGGTGTAGTCTAATATAATTTAAGTGGAATTTTTTTTCCCATTTAGCCTGCAGGTTCCTTTTTTTTTTTGAATTTTTTTGAATTTTCTTTCTCTAATTTGATTTCTAATATTTAAAAATTGGTCATTTACTTTCTTCATATTTTTCAATTATATTCTTAACTTTTGAATTTCATTGTGTCGTTAATACTCTTGATATATATAAGAAAGTAAATTGGTTGATCATGGCTAAAAAGTTCGATCTTTTGGCCCTAGAGAAAACGTTTTAACTCTATTTGCTTTGTTCCRGTTGATATTTGGAGATGTTGAGATTTCAATTTTATTTTTGAAAAATGGCAAAATGTGGACATCGAATTTATAAACATATAAAAATATCGATGGAAATATCGACATATTGATGAAAATTTAATACATTATCTATTATATGTTTTATGTTGCACTATTGTCAAATTGGCCTTATTAGCCTGGTAATAATATTATCCAATTGTATTAATGATATTGATAGCGACTTTTAAGTACTTGGTGGTAAATCACTTAGCCTAAGAGTATCATAGCATGCTCAATTATCTCTATCCCTAAACTTAGGTATGTTAGGTTCTTTGACCGTTATTATTCAGAGCACTTATTCATAATTATTTTGATCAACAAAACATTTGTAACATTGTAMGTCATTTGAGTTTGATCTGTATATTATTTATGTAAAAAATTTTGAACTCTATATTATATTTAAAAATATATATTTATTTTATATTATTTATATAAATGTTTCTACAAATAGTGTGATGATGTAAGACTAGAAAAAAGAAAAGAAAAAGAATTGTATTTAC